ATGCACACAGTATCTCCGTAACCACTCTCATAAATCCAGGATAAGGGGTCAGTAACATCACATGTGGGTGCTATCTTTGACTCATACCCTCATCACACAATCTAATTAGTAGCACTAACAATGGCCGCCATATTTCTCTTTACTGCCCAAATCAATATTCGTTCATCTGCATTGATCATCATTTCTCACAAGCTGTGGGCTCCAGGATAAATGCTCTATAAATCTTGGTGACAACAAGTTGTAAAAGAGGGTGGAAACACATATGTCTACACATACAAACACATTGTGGGCACAAGTGAGCAGGAGCAGACAAATCCACGAGTATTACCTGCACCACGGCAGCGTCAGTGTACGTGAAAGGTCTTGTGCGGTTGTCTGGGAGACAGAGAGCAGTGCATTGATCTCAGAGGAGCAGTCATGAAAAGAAGCTGGGGGGCTTTGATAGGGGCATTCATCATACTAAGACATGGCTATGCTAATGATTACAACACAACCAAACGTTACAGCCCTCATCAACACTTCATCAATTGGAACAGCCTGATGAGTCTGCAACTACTAGACAGCAGGATGCATGTTTGGGTATGTTAACTGCAGTGCTTTTTAATGTAGTGCTAGAACTAGAGGTTTTTTTATTGCTCAAATTATTATACTATTAAACTGTATACAATATTTTTGTTCTGTACTGCATTGTTTACAGACTGGCAAAAAATAACTACAACATTTATAGTTGAAAAGACAAATAAAAGAGAACGTTTATTTCCTTCCATCATTAAGATGATGCTTTGTCAATTATCTATAGAGTAAATGAGTTTCTCAAATGGTGCAGTCAGTGAAAAAGTTTGATAAGAAACAGGTAAAGGAGTATATCAAAAGTGCAGAATTAGCATTTCAATGAGCATAATGTTATTACAAAACGCACATGTTTTTTCCAAATGACCGATTAGGATTGATTGGTAGAGGCAAACTATATTATATGTAAGATGGTACACTTCTTGAATATTACTATATTGCATTCATACAGCATTTAGTGGTTCCACTGTGAATTGTTTTTTAGACTTACATTATATCATTAAAATGTAAGCCATTAAAGCAATTCGGTCCCAGTGCTAAGTGTAAACAAATAATCTTTAAACAGATCATGATGAATAAAGGTAATAAGAACAAAACCTTGAGAGTCTTATTAGTAACCATCACAAACTTAAGTGCTAAACTGGGATTATGTACAGTTGTCTCTCATTAGTGTGAATAAAGATCTGGACCTCATGAAGTCTAGAAGGACAAATAATGAAAGACTGAGGTTTAGTTGCAGCATATCTCTCACGAACATAAACCCTCTCTCTCCTCCCATGCCACACAGCAGTTTATAATAAAAACCAACCAAATGTGAAAAATGCACGTAGTTATTATCACTCAAAAAAGTTCAAAATCAATTTGTTTAACAACCTCGAGAACACAATCCCTCACAGGTCCTTTTGCCTTAATGTCTCTGATTTAACTAAAGCCTCACCACTGTGTGCTCATTTGCCGGATTTGAGCTAAGCTTTTTAGCCCTGCAATAGAGTGAGCACAGGGCCCCAAGGATGGCAGTGTTTGTTGGTGGCTCGCTATCTTTCAAGGTTGGTTAAACCTTTTTGTCCAGTTGGTCATAAGAAGCAGCATGGCCTCGAGGCTCTGCCTTTGAAGATTTTAGACTTATTGTTTGTAACAAAACTAATTTACATATCCTCTGCAATTCAGCATTGCAGCTAATATAGCGATTAAGATAGAAGCAATAAATACAAGCCTACAAGCATTGAATGGTTTAGGCCCAAAATACTTTTCTGATCTACTGCTAAATTATGAACCATCCAGATCTCTCAGGTCTTCAGGGACTGGTCAGCTTTCTGTGTCCAGAGTCAGAACTAAACATGATGAAGCAGCGTTCAGTTATTATGCTCCAAATATCTGGGACAAACTCCCAAAAATCTGCAGGTCTGCTGCAACTCTTACTACTTTTAAATCCAGGCTGAAGACTTATCCTTTTGTCGCTGCTTTTAATTGAAACTGAGCCGTTGTGTTCATCAGTAAAGTGGAACTTCTGTGTGAACTATTCATATCTTAAACCGCAATGTAACTTTTTATTCATGCATTTTTTCGTTTAATGTTTCTTTTATTATCTTTTCTTTTGAATGACTGTTTTTAAATGCCTTTGTCTGAATGTCTTTCATTTTTGTAAAGCACCTTGAATTGCCTTGTGTTGAAAGGTGCTATATAAATAAACTTGGCTTGCCTTCCTTGTCCACTTTCCTCAATTTTCTCCCTCTCCTCTTAGCACTTAATCCATTTTCCTTCCTTTCTGACATGCTGCTGCCATTGAAGCAACTTCCATCACAAAAAGAAGAGCTGCAATTCCAAAAGCTTTCCACCTGGTCTTTTGTTGTTGAAAAAGGGATTATCGATTCTAGTTGAGTCCGGATTATTGTCGAAAAAACAAAACATTAAAAAAAGCCACATGTATAAGGCAAAGACAGGGCACCCTTGTTGCTGTGTGAAATACAGTATGTGTTTGCATGTGAACAACACCAAATCTTACATACATTTACAGGAACATTAGAGAAAATGGGAGCACATTAATGAAGCTCAGCGTAAGTTCAACCAGGAAGACCGTCTTTACTCTTCATTTACTATTTCCATGTTACTACGCTCTCTCCTCTCAATAAGTGATCGGGGGCTTAACCAATCACTTTGCTCTATTCCCACAAGCCCATCATAGCGCCCTGCTAGACCTTTTAAATTGACTCTCCCCCTCCGACAGCTGTCATTTCAGGTGATTCAACGCAACCCTCCTCCACCCCTTTTCACCTCCTGTCCCTCTGAATACAGGGTCAAGCTTAGCCACTCCTATTCAGACCGACCCAACTATCCATTCACCACCACCGGTGTCTAGACCCCAGGGGGGTTTCATCGGATCGGTTCTCCCCTCCCGAATGATACTCCTGCACAACGGGGCCTAATCGCCAAAATCACCATTACATTAATTGCGTATCCCTGGCAATAAATATGTATTCTTCTTACATCAAAACCGTCTCTCCTGATTGAATTTCTCATAGTGCAGCAGAAACACCTCAAGCTTAGGCTCACAAGGTAGCAGTAAATTAAATATTAAAGTGCAGATGATTTGAGTAAATCCACAAGGAGAACAAAGCAGAACACACTCTCAACAGTGTAGCCCTAAACCCTGAGGCACCTAGACATGATGACAAGAAGTCAAGAAAACATTGTCTGTGGGAACTGTCTTTCATCTTTTTTAGTAAGACAAGTAGAATTGCTGCAGAGCAGACATTCAAGATTGTTATATTAATTCAAGTTAAAAAAGGAAAGGGCAGGAAAACTTTAAACATTGATATTACTTTGCAAACTTTGCATCTGGAATCACTGTAAGCCTTGACGGAAACATGCTTACACAATGTCCAGAAAGAATCACACACAATGTATTTTAACATGCACACAATGCTTTATGTCTTGAAACATGCACTAAGACAAGCACTTTCTCTGTGTGTATGCTGAGATTGTGTGTGTTTAAGACGTAAACATAGAGCAGAGACCATTATGTCAGACAGGTTTACATTAGTCAGCAGATGCAGAGGGCCACATCATTAGTCACTCTGACACCCACTTCTGGACCCAGTTTTATTGATGAGGCCAAGATCAACACCCCCCCCCCCCTCACAAATACAGGTTATGTGCACACACCCTCCTCTTTCAAAGTCCTACTGTAAAGCAACTGTTTGAGGGTCACATTTAGAGATTAAAAGCTAGCAAAGCAAGTTGCTGCATGTTCACGCAATGAACAACAGTGCAGAGAATGCCACGCCATTTCCCACAATTTAGTTGCTTATCTTACCTTAAATAGCAAACAATAAATCCATAGATGAACACCTGCTCAAGACCAAATCTTTTGGGCAGGTTGTGAATGGGGGGGGGGGCACAATGACAGGGTGCCAAGTGTGTCACAGCAATGAGCTCAGAGCCATTTATGGCCTCCGTGAGTCTGACATTTAGCAGGAAGCTGCAATTTGTCAGCCTCTCAGTCTGACTCACACATCCACAACAGGGGATGCTCATGAAACACATTACCATTAAGCCTAATAGTGCTGCATCACAGAACCGGGAGTATGTATGTGTGTGTTTCTGTGTGCGTGCATGCAGTGTAAAACTAATGATGCATGTGTGGTTCCCCTCACTGCTATAAAACAACTTGAGGAAATGACATAAAAATGAAGAAAAACAGGTAGGGAATCAAAAGGAATCAATTCATCAAAATGCTCCTCATGTTATCAACAGACCTAAGCTTCAGATTAACAATAAATCACAATGATGATCCCTGATCCTTGCCCCGAATGCAAACCACTAATTTTACTATTCTGCATCAAAGCCTTTGCACCAAGAGCCACTTAATTTCCAAAGCCAGCAACTAGTGTCACTCATGAAATGTGAGTGGTGGAGAAGGAAGGCTTTTTATCCTGAAATAGAGCATGTCTGCTAACCAAAGTAAATGGTGGAGAGCAAAGTAATAGTATAATAGCTATTCCTCCATCGTCTATCCAATGTTTTTCTTTCGATAAGATTCCTTTAACGTTCCACTTTCCTCTACAATCTCTATTTTCTCCCTATCCCTCTTGTCAGTGATGAGTAAAGGGCATGCATTGGCACAGCCATTACTAGAAGGAAATATCCTGATGGCCTCTCTTTCCGCAGAAGATTACCATCAGCTACAAAAACAGTGAATTCTGAAAAGTTCAATTTCTCTGTAGTCAGTTATCATTATACAAAAAGTTTATAAAGTATGTCTTCCAAAGGGTGGCGCTGAATTTTGAAGCAGTTCAGTTTTTGGGCCACGCTGTCAGAAACAGATTTCAAGTCGAATCAAACATTTACTCACACATAACAGTCCCAACTGCAATACACATGTGCACACTCACACACTCACACAAAAGATAAAAGAGGTGTCTGCTTTGCTCTTACCCGAGTGTTGTCATAGTAACGATGGTGTACCAGAAGGAGGCTGGGATGCTGGTGAATTTGCTGGAGCTTGAACCCTTCTCTGCGTAGAACATGACGGTAGCAAAGATAATTATCGCCATAGTGAGGGAGAAAAGCAGGAAGCCCAGCTCCGAGGCACAGCTCTTCAAAGTGTAGCCCAGGATGCGCAGGCCCTGCGAGTGACGGGAGAACTTAAAGATGCGGAACACGCGGAAAACACGGAGAGTCACGAAAGCACCACTCACGTCCTCATTGTCAGTCATCACCAGGCCAATGTAATAGGGCAAGATGGCCACCACATCGATGATGCTCATGACTGACCTCATGAAGCGGTAGCGACTCGGAGCAGCAAACAAGCGCATCAGGTACTCCACGGTAAAGATCATGACGCAGGCCGTGTCCATGCAGAAAAAGGCCACAGTGTAGCGCTCACCACACGGCACTTCCTTTTGGTTGGGCACCGTACCGCAGGGCACCGTCTCTACCACGTTGGTAATGACGGAAATAGCAATGAAGAAGCCAGTGACGTAGTAGAAGACCAGAGCCATGGTAGAGGTGTGGGGGTTCTCAAAAGCCCTCCACATGGTCTCCCTGAAGGTCATGTTGGGCAGTTTAGCGTCCTTCTTGTCCTCCTGGTCATCCATGAGACGTTCTGCATTCTCCCTCTTCCTATCCTTGTACTCTTCGTAGCAGCAGTCACCGATGATCTCTGAGATGATGCCAAAGAAAGCCAGCTCCTCATCATAGGAGCATATGCACTCGTAGCGTGGATAGTGGAGCTTGCCTGTGCGGTAGAAGTTGAGCACGCTGCGAAACACATCAGGGTCCCGGTCGAAGAAGTACTCTTTGGTCTCCTCGTTGTAGAAGAACTCCTTCTCCGAGCTCCCCAGAAGGGTGTCTGGATAGCGGTCCAGCGTGTTCTTCCAAGTCTCAAAGCGGCGTCCACTGACATTCAGAATGATGAGCTCATCCTGCCGCCTGTTCTTCTCGGCGGGCGCGACTGGCATGGGCAAATTGGCAACAGGCATCCAGCCGATCGCTGCCGCCCTGGCAAAGGGAAGCCATGCCGCTACTCCTGCCGCCATGCTGTGTCTGGCTTGGGGCTTAGGGGGGAACAAGTCCAGCACCTTCACAACCAGCTTGACTTCAGCTCATTCAACATCTAAAGGGAAGAGAGCAAGATAGTTTGTATGGCCAGGAAGGACAGGAGAGCTGTGTGATTATCACAGGAGAGAGGTAGTAAACTATTAGAAAAAAGCTAAAGATAAATTAATGTTAAAGATGTGAGAGAAAGGAACATGTTTTTGAAGAACAGATTTAGTGAGGCCGGTAAAAAAAAGGGAATGGAGGTAATAATGAAGACTCACACAAACAATGCAACTTATATCCTAAACTATCCTAAATGGCAATCTACTGAGACAGCAACAACTATATTCAATGGCATATTCAATATCACATTCAAGCTGAAAAACCTTTGTGAATACAGGGACACGCTGCATTTTCCACCAAGCATCATCATCCTAATAACTATTCCCAGGCTATATTTCTTAGATTCTCTGATAATCTAAGAAACTCTATTAGGTCAGAGTTTGGAAGCAGCTTTCTGAGGATGAAAGCTCACTGCATCTTGTAGTTAAAAAACGAGGGTAGCAAGCAAGGCTACATAACATTGTCTATATTCATAGCATATGTGTGTGTACAGTTTGTGTAGGGGAAAGAGTGTATGCATTACATTTTATTTTTGCATATTTCATCTTGATGTAAAGCACATTGTGTTGCATGTGTGAAATGGTAAATATTACAACGTTTAGTATAATTTTATTTAAAGTATAGGTCGTTTTTGCTTAAAATATATTAGCAGGCACATTTTCAAGGTTGTAGTATCCCTGATAGAGATACCAGCACGAGATTTAAAACCTGTTGAGTTCCAACTACAAAACAGATTTTCCTCTAAATGTATGAAAGCAGTTGATCCACGATGCAAATTAGTTGCATGGAGCCGAATCTAAAACAGCGTTTTTGACGACACTTGAGGACATTTTGGCTTTTACGTTACCCCTCAACCCGGAAAAAGCAAAACCGATTTGCCTAACAGGTTGATGACTTAATACAGCTGCAGGTATCAACAGCTTTATCTTCGATTACAACTCACCGATTGAAAAATTATCCATCCAAAGAAAAACGACCTTGTTCCAGCAGTTTAGTAACAAATCGTAGCTTTGGTCTTTCTGAAAGCGTGTCTGGGAGAAAACATAACCAGGAAAGAAGAAGTTATTTTAGCAAAGAGGAGAGCGACATTGGGCTACTGCTGAGGTGAAAGCGGAAAAGTACCGGAGACGGACGTACCACAGATGTTTTAATTCAGTTTCCATTATGCGAGAGGAGATTTGATGAGAGGACTCCGCCGTACAGACCGTCTTGCCTTTTGCGGGATGAGTGGTGGGAAGAGATGGAGGAGGAGTAGGAGCGCGCGCTCTCTCTCTCTGTTTTCTCTCTCTTTCACTCTCCCTCGCTCCCTCTCTATCCCTCTCTCTCCGCTCAGGGCGGACTGTGGACCAAATCTGCATTTATGGGAAAACTCGAACAGAGCGATGCGCAGAAAGTGCACTAATGATTGAAAAACGATGTACCCATTCGTCGTCGGTCAGAAATAGTTAAAAGAAATATACAACATAATTTTGTCGTCTTCAACAACTCATACAGTTTGTTTCATACCATATATTATTTCCAATTCACCTATCAAAGGCAATTACTGCCAGCTGACTTAACAACAGGATACATCCCAGCAGGGGCGTAGCTGATAATTCAAGAGGGCTGAAACTGGATCACCTTGGAACCTTTACCTTTAACTATTGTAGTAAAAACAGATTAATTGTTTTGGGCCACTCTGAGGCAGCAAAATAAGTTATGAACAACGACTGCAATTACCTTTTAGATATTGCAAACTTGTTAGCAAACATTGCTGATTTCCAAATACAGCAGTTATGAAATAACATTATACATTAAGAGATTGTAATATACAACATAATTATTTTTCTTTTACCCTTTAGGTTTGTCTGGAAAATATTGGCTGTTGGGAGCTACATGGTTCACTTTATTTACCCGAAAGTTGCTCACTGTCTGTCTGCTGTTTGGTGTTGAGCAGGTTCAGTATGTTTTTAGAGCTTTTGTTAAAAAAAGAGGCCAAAATGCTGTGAGCAGTGAGAGAACAAAAAGGGTAAAATTGTAAAGCCAAGAAGAGCTGAGGGTTCGGTTTTTCTTTATCATACTGTAGATTCCTTGCTTCCCTTTAACATTGTCATATTCTTTCATATTGTCATTTGATATCATTCATTTTATTTTAGCAGGCTTTTTCTGAATCCTCTTTACGTGTCTCTCTGTCAGGTTTCCTTAGATAAATCATTTTTCATCAAAGAGACCGAGTCCAAACAGTGGCGAAGATAATTAGACCCGAACAGTCCTAACAAAGAGAGAATACTGGCTACATCTGTAGTTTCATAATAATTTACCAAGATCGAAACTATTTCCAAAATCAATTTTTTTTTATGCTCTGGAGGATAATAGAAATAATAAAAAGTGTATTTTCAGCACTTACTCCAACAATAAAATATGCTGTGGCCATCTGGGAAAGATAGATACAAAATGTCATTGTTAAACCAATTAAGTTTTTGTTTGGCAAATTCTAAAATATGGTAATAATTGTCATTTTTTGCGATAGATCTTCTGATTTCGAAATTGATTATGATGCACAAAGTGATCAGAGGCAGAACCTACCTGACCGCATTAGACTTAGTATAATTTTGCACCCGATACGACCAGATCTTGCTTGCTCTCAGTTTCTTAGAACCATGTGCTGCAGTCAGGGTTCAGTGGATCTCTATACTCTAGAGACACTACCTTTCAAAGAAATACTATAGTATAGAGCCAACATAAAACATTAATGGAGGGCATGAACCTCACCACATCTGACAATATTTTTCTGACCAGACAGAAAGCTACAATAAAAAAAGGGAAGCTTTTTTTATTTATTGTGTCTCTTTAGCAGGCTGAGTCTCAGCAACAGTAAATCTCAGCCCTTGATATTTTCTGTTTGCATTCTTTTCCTGGGACCTGGGAGACTAGAGGGTCTGGTGATCATCTCTACATGTAAGTTTACTCGTGAAACCAAAACAAAACAATAGGCTTCCAGTGGAAAAGCTCTCAGAGCAATCAATGTCTGCACTGAAAAATAGCAGGTGCAGCACGCATAGTATAGGTACAAATATAACACTCTTACTCATATGTCCAATACTCTACCTCGTAAGGCAAAATAAGTTAGTGTATATACTATATCATTCCTTTGGGTAGGCAGTGTATGCACACACAGTACTGGGTTAGTTAATATTCTGATGGACATACTGGAAATTATCCAGTTTGAATTTGTTAGTGATCTCCAACATGTCACTCAAGCTTGAATTATGTGACATGGCCATCAATAGTAAAGCTCATAACTATGGGGAGAATAATTTTTGTATAGTCAGTCATTTATATTCAAACTCAGACAGTGTCAATGTCTCGGTCCCCACATTATTCAATGATTTGCAGGACAATATGCAACCCTAATTGAGTCAACAGGGATCCTACTCCGACAATACTTACATTCCGTTGGAATATCAATAGGGTCAGGGAACACAGCTCACACACACTGCAACACATATGGCTAGCTCATTATGGTTTATGGATATGTATGTGCATAATGTGAACCATTAACCCTTTTGCACACACCATATTACTTACCATAAATTCACTCACAGTCTGGGTTGAAAATATCAACTTGGTAGTGATTGTTATTTAGACGATTCAGCCACACACATTTACACGCATACAAAAACATATTTATTTACGCCTCTATACCCTTGAAAAGCTACCCTTAGAAGCACCTTTCACTCAATGAATTCCCTTACTGTAAACTGACCTCACCTTGTGAAAAATGTCCCTGCTCTAAAACCTGGACGTGCTGTCACGAAGATGGAATAACACACACACACACACACACACACACACACACACACACACACACACACACACACACACACACACACACACACACACACACACAACAACAAAGAGACACAAACTGCACAGAGACCTTTTCAAAGGATAAGTCTGTGAGCGGTTCCGATAATTCAAATGTCACTGAACAACAAGGTGGGTTGAATTTCATGGTCAACTGCCCTCTGTAATTACCTGAAGACACTTCACTGACATTAACATAATAAATCGTCTTTGTCCTGCAGTGCCTCGAGAAAACAAAAGCTAGTTAAGTTTCAGTGACAAAACTTGGATGATTAGTTGAGTGAGTATCTATTTAACGGTGGTCCTGGGAGACAAGTGCCAATATTAGTGGAAAATCGTCCGGCAGTGAATCCTCACTGAGCCCATCGCCTTAAAAATAGTATGCCTATTATGTATGATGTGTGTGGTATCGTACAGATATGATAGAGATGTCCATCTAACAATTGAATAAAAGTGAGTTTGCCAAAATGCTGAGGTCACTATCCCCCACTAATAAAAGCCATACCTTTTGCAATATAATGAACCATGTGACTGTGGGATAATTTCCTGGAAAAACCACAAGCACTGTTTGTCTCTGGCAAGTGAGCCCTAAAGACACACCTGCAATTATCGCTTTTCACCATAGATGCCACCAAATGTAGATATTTGAGATTGTAAATTCAAGTTTCTGTCCCTCAGTTTATGTTGTGAAAATGTTGTTTCACCTCTTCACTGAGCTGTAAAATATGTCAAACTGAGTCAAGATTTAAAGGGGACCTATCATGCAAAATGCACTTTTGTACGTCTTGTATACATGAATATGTGTCCCCGGTGTGTCAGGGAACTCACCAAGTGTCAGAAATCACAACCCTCTCTCTTTTCCTCTATACCAAAATCTCTAAAAACGGGGCTGCAACAGAGCTGATACAGATTTGAATTTTTCTGACGACAGAAAAGGGGTGCTCCGTCTATATGGGCAACTCTCCACCTATCAGGGGAATGGGGGGTTGGGCCCCGGCCACGGCCATTGCCGCTCGAAAGCGCTGGAGACGCTGTAGTACATATGCCAGGCCTGTAAGTGGCGCTGTAGTCTGCCACAAAAGCAGCGAAGAAGACTTCTCACAGAATCAGCCCTTGCAAAAACAGGGCTGGAAAATAGCAAATAGAGCTAAATGAGGCATGGCTAAAATGCATGATCTGCTTGGTATTTTGAAAAAAAAACTTCACAGACATGTTTTATATATGGCCCTATAATATATTATTCAAATAGGTCCACTTTAAAGGTCACCTATCATGCTATTTTTAGGCAACAGCATACTGTA